ATCCTTGCATGCGTGAAGGTTCACCTTTACGAGCTATGAATCGCTGCGATCGGGAATGGAAAAGACACTGTCGGGTGTGATACACGTAGAAAAGTGTTACCACGTGTTCTTGTCTGGCATTACGCTAGGCACCTTGAAGGATATAAAGGTTCACGAGAACTTAGCGTTTAGGCAAGACGATAAACCACAGACACGTGAAATAATTACTGGAAAAAATCCCAGAACAGTAAATGAGTAAGTGGGGGATGACTGCTATGTTGGATAAAGGTAAAACAGGCAAAGGGCAAGCAAACCTTTAACAAGACAGTCCCCTATTGTGACAAAGCCCCAGCCCCATTAACACCGAATGACCGTGGGCCTTGGAACCCAAGTTAATAATAAAGTATAACCTAAGTGTAAAAGGAACTTGATGTACAAAGGCTGGGAAGGGCCCACAAACCTGAGTGCAAAGAAGTTTCCAGCTTTTGATGAGGCCTCATTTCCTCTGCCACTATACTGCCTTGAATTTTACATTACCCTATGTGGCTCCTGGGTGATTAAAGACATTTTAACTGTAAATCTTAGCCACTTTTCCTTTACATGGGGGAGAGCACTTAAAAACTGAACAACAGGAGAATACTGTGGTTTACTTTACTGGGATTATGCGTAGGATTTTCTTTATAAGAACGTTTATTTTTTATTATTTCATCATTCAACAACTGTTTAATGAGTACCAAGGTTGGGGTAGTAGTTTAGCACTGTGGTTAGGAGCACAGGGTTTGGCAGACAGATTTGGTTTGAGTTATAGCCCTGCCACTTCCCAGATCTGTTTCAAAGTACTTCTCTAATCCTCAGTTTCTTCATATGAAAAATGGGACTAAAGCAGTACTTGTCTAGTAGCATCATGGGAAGGACTAAAGAATTCATGTAAGGTGCCTGGAACATATTAAGTGAACAGTGAGGTTATTTTTTTTTTTGCCAGTTAACAGCCAGAGTAGGAGGAGTTTGGCCTAGATACTATGCTGGGTGCTGGAGATTCAACAATAGCAAGAAAGACAAACATTCCCTGCCTTCCCAGGTCAGACAAGTAAGGTAAGCAGACAAGCAAGGTATTAACTGGTAGGATAAGGAGTTTTATGGAAACAGGTAGCACTGACAAGGAGAGGGAAGTAAGTAAGTAGGTAAGTTCCAGAAAGATTTCTTGGAAGAAAACACATCATCACAACCTTTAAAAATCGTATTATTTGCTGTAAATTATTTGGTTCTGGGCTAGAATGTAAGTTTCATGAGGGTAGGGACATTGTGCGCTGTGTTTGGTTTTGTATATCCAGCCCTTAGTGTGCTACCTGACACATAAGAGGCATTCAAATAGCTGGTGGTGAATGAGAGAATGAAGCGACTCCTAAGGTGGTAAGTAGGAGTTTTCCAGATAAGGATGACAGGAAAGGTGTCCCAGGCAGATGAAGGAGTGTGCATGGAGTCACAGGAGGGAGCGAAACCACAGAGAGTGGAAGGAGCTGAACTGCAACCAGGCTGGAAAGCGTGTGGATGTGGATGCCATGAAAGATGAAGCTGAGAAGGGACCAAATCAAGCAGGGTCTTGGAAACTGTGCTAAAGAGTCTGAACTTGATGCTCAAGCGTGATGTGAAACCAATAAGGATTTTAATCAAGGAAAGGATATAATCAGTATGTGTTTTTTAGAGTTCATTCCTTATTCTTTCAATACACTAATAACTCAAATCCATTTGAAGGAAAAAAAATGGATATTGCACATAAGCATAATTAGAAAGAAAAGTCATCTGTCATCTTACCACTCAGAAATAACCACCATTTGACTATAAATAACAAGCAACCTGTCACAGCTATCTACCTACTGCTGTGTAACAAACCACCCCAAAACCTAGTGGCCTAAAATAATGATTTATTTTTTTTCAAGAGTCTGTGGGTTAATCAGGATCAGTTGGGTGGTTCCCCCACTCCATGTGGCTAAGCTGAAGATGCTCATGCAAGCTGTGTTCAGCTGGGAGTTTAGCTGAGGCTGGCACATCCAAGATGGCCTCCCATCTCCAAAAGCCTCTCTCTGCATGGGCTCTCTACTATCGGTAACCCAACCTGCTTCTTTGCACCATGGCGGCTGGCTTCCAAGAGGGATAGAAGGGAAGTTCTTGAAGCCTAGGCTTAGACATGCACTGAACTTCTTCCACTGCACATTAGTAGGCAAAGCTAGGCACAAGGCCAGCTGAAATTCAAGGGGAATGGAATCCACCTCTTGATAGGAAGAGGAGCCTGTGTGCACAGGGATGAGAGGACTCATTGGCTATTGGGAAACTACCACACAATCCGATTTGCTAACCACAAAGCAAAGTTGTTGACCATTTCTGGTACAAATAGTTAGAAAAACTCAAGTCAAGTGACAAATGCAAAGTACATGGTGTTTGGCCATGTAAGAATCTGGTAAGTCGGTTGCTTAAATAAGCTGGCACTTGGCATGCATGCCACGGAAGGTGGGAGGCAGTGGGGAACATCATATTAGAGCCCAGTGTGCAGTGAAAGAAAGTGAAGGAAAAAGGCAGATCCTAGACCAAGAAAATGGTTAAAATTGTATTCTGGAACCAATGCCTGTACACTTAACCTCAGTATTAACTCCAAGCATAACAGGTGAATGAAACACATTATTTGTCCAATCTCGCTTCCTAAGAGTCAAATGCGTGGGGACCAAGGGGTCAGGGAGAGTTGTATTTCAGCATGCACTTAGGCAGAAGCAGCAAAGTGTGCACACCACATCCTAGGAAATGACAGAATTGAAACCTGAACAGCCAAATCTCTTGCCAAATCAAGGAGCAAGTATGAGACCAAAACGGCAGCCTTCTCCTCATCTCTGCTGTGAATGGGGCAGGGGGCTTGATTCTCAATTTTATTCATCACAATTATGGGAAAGCCAACTGGTTGAATGGCCCGAGAAGGGCATAACCAGGCTCCTGGGCTTGTCTGTGAGTCTACTTCTAATGCCTAAAGACAAAGGACAGTGCCTCTCTAGTCCTACCTGTCTTCCTCATCTCCACTGCCATTGCCTTAGTTCAGTCCTTCATCACTTTCTGGATTTTTGCAGGACTCCTGATTGGTCTCCCCATTACGTTATTCATCTCTACCTGCTCCATCTCCCACATAGCTGCCAGTTACCTTTTTTTAATACACATTTTATAGCTCTAGGGAATGGCAAGGAAAAGGAAGACCAGAGAAAGGTGCCATGTTCTTATTAGGAAGAGACTTGTATGTCACAATATAGACTTTATCCTGAGAAGTACCTACTGAATAATTTTTCGAGACAATCAAATTTGCATATTTTTTAAAGTTTTGCATATTTCAAAAGGATATCCAGGCAGCAAGGAGATCAGAAGTAAGCCTGGAGACTGAGAGATGATTAGGATATTGTACCTGCTAATAGAGAACAGGTCTGAGCCAAGCCAGTGTCAGAAAAGTGGAGACAGATTAGATACACAGTATAAATGGTAAATGGTGACCTCCAGGCCGGAGGTAGCAGGCAAGAAGAAATGAGGAAATCACCTAAGTTTCCAGCTTGAGTAGATGGAATACCTACTCTCAAAACAGACACACAGGAAGAGCAGGTTTGGGCGTAATCAGAAACTTCCAAGTGGGATGACCAGTTTTAAACAAATAGGTTGGGAGTTCAGGAAAAGGGTCTAAATACAGTGAAAACCAGAAAGAACAGATGAAGTCACATGTGGACAGATTCACACAGAGAGACCATGTAGTAAGGAAAGCAATAAAAACCTAGAAGAACTGAAGAGGGTTCAAGACTTGCAAAGCCACAAATGACTTTTACAGCTCAACAAATCAAAATCTGAAAGCAGAATATATTGTCTACTACTTGCCAAATTGCTTAATAAGAGAGGGAGGGTCATTCAAGCAGAGATTCTCCACTAGGAGGGTAGGAAAACATGTCCCTATTGCCAGGCGAGAAGAGGTATTACATGAAAACCATATTCTGTATATCTCATTTTGTAACCAACTAGAACAAACAAAGGTCTACAAAACCAAACTAGATAGGGAAACCCATGCAAAAAAAAAAAGGTGGTGGAAGCCACCACTTGCAGATCAAGCCTAAAGCTTGGGAAAAAAGATCCAAAGAGCTAGAGGCTGGCAAGGTCCAGTCAAAGCTAACTGCCCTAGTGCTTATGCACCAAGCAATCTTCTGAAGAGAATTTGGCTTGTCTGCAGAGAGAGAAACTGTACTAACCTGCCAACGTGAGTATTCTGGTCTACTTGATACATTTTGGCTTTCGCTATAAACTAACAGGCATTCAGGTTAATATGTCACTCTTTTAATATGAGTACACCCCAGAGAGAGGTCAACTCTCCAGTGACAGATTCACTTTCAGTATCTCCAAGGCCCAGGGCCAAACTGCAGTGAGGAAATACTACCTGGAGGACTTCTGGTAACCAGAGACAGGGCTTATCCTGGAGGCGCTCCAGCCTCACTTCAAGCCTCCCCTCTGAAATACACCAAGCACCTTTTCTTTTTCACCAAAAAGTTAAAAGTTAAAATGTGACTGCAAACAAGGAGTACAATTCATTAATACTTTTATTTTGAGTTGTAATCTATTATTACTTCAAAAAGATTCACTTCAAAAAACATCCGATGGATGCTGACTTACCAATAAAAAAGTAAGTCATCGTCATATGATTTATAATACAGAATACACAATAAATTATATTTACATGCAATGACTAGACTATCACACACACGGTAAAAAAATACAGGATTTCTATGTACATTTTTAAAGATTTACATTTTCATATACAGTTTATAAAGTTTAAAAAAATTCTCTGTACAAAATCTCATGTGTACAGAGTTTATAAATCCCTATTCTTATGGCTGTACCACCACACAGATACGCTTAAAACTATAATACTACAAACACTTAGGTTTTTTTTTTTTTACACTTCATATTCAGTCTTGGCACCCATGTACAATACCATTATTTTTGAAACGTGAATTACAAAGGAAATACAATGTAATCATGCAGACTTTTTTAATAGAAGAAAATGAGACAAAATGTGCTATTAGATCAACATTTATCAATTCCATAGTTACCTAGTTCTGTTCAACTTGCTGCACTGCTCTCATACAGGTACATGCAAAACTAGATTATGGATTGTTTTAAAAACATTAAAATAATACTATTGTCTGACAACACTTAGTCACTAGGAATGCAACTATCCAACAACCCTAGTCTGTTGCTTACTTCTGTTTTGGCAGAAACCTCAAAGAAATGAAGATATTACATACTAAAATTCACAGAAATGTCAACATTATAATTCCTAAGTTTCTAGAGTCTGCATCAGATAGAACACTGATCATTTAAAAAAACAAACAAAAAAAAGGTTTTTGACATTTAAGAGTATATTCTCTGCTCTGAGAATGGGGGGAGAGAGAGAAATCTAAGATAAACCATTAAAGGATTATCCACTGTCCCTGCTAAGGAAGCACTTGCACACTCCCAATCTGTTTCAATAAAGACACCTGAAGGCTTTATAAAAAAGCTGACGCTACACTATTCAACTTTAAAAATCTTCTTGAAAAGTAATAAATTGAAGGTATCAGCACCTTCTCTCCTCCCCCACGTAGCTAAAGATCAAGGAAAAAATAAAGTGCCAATGTCTGAAGTATTGTTAATTGTTTAAGAGGCACTAACCCATTTGATGGCTTAGGATTAAATATGAAAATAGGCCAGATCTGATCTGAATAATAAACAGAAGGTAGGTATTCCAGAGTCTATGCAATTCCTGCCTAGATGGGGGCTGCACCAGGAAACTACCTACTCCCCCATTTATTGCTTTGAAACCTGTACACACACTTTCATTTTGGACCCAGAACAATGAGATTTCTAAGACGGAAAGCACAGTGTCTGTGCCACTTTGAAGCTGAAGAAGAAAGCGCACTCCTGACCACTGTGAGGGGAGCTGCTGAGGCTCTCTTCTCCACAACTCATATCTTCACAAGAGTCCTCGCTAAAAGGAAAAACAGAGAGAAGAGGATCCCATCATTTAAAACACGTCTAAATCTCGTACAGGCAAAATTAAACTGCTGAACAAGTAGCTCTAGTCTCAGGATTTTTACATTCAAAATTTAAGCTCTACAGAGACAAAATTTAACTTAGAAAGACTTCCTAAAGTGAAGGGTATTGTAAGCTCCTTAGAAAATACAGATTTGCTTAAGAGGTTTAAACAAATTACCACTTGCCAAACTATTATTCTTGTACCAAGTAATAACTCTGTCAGCAATAACTATAGAATTCTAAGTACTTTAAATCCAGTAAATGCAAACTAATGACAAAGATCTCCTATCACATGGTTTTGATGTCTTTCTTGCATCAATAATTGCATCACTGAACTTCTCAAATATCAAACTAAGAAACCAACGAGCTAGGAAAATGGAACTTATGGTCTTTTCTCCCTACAGCATAAAACAGTGAAATTCAATAAAATTATTCACTTTACTAACAAAAATAAACTCTGAATAAGACAACGGCATTTGACAAAACTAAAAATCTCTACAGAACTCTGCCGCATCAGTGGTGGTAGTTCCCTTTACTTTCAAGTCATTTAACCCGCAGTCTCTTTCCATAGGACCATTTTAGAAATTCATACTAATGTTAAAAAACCCAGAATGCTGTTTTTTTTAACTAAACTGTATTTCAAAAAGCGAAAAAGATGGGAAACAACCAGTTTTTTTAAACAGGAGCAGTGAAATAAGTCAGAGAACAAATACTGTATGATCTCACTTATATGTGGAATCTGAAAACACAAAACAGAACTCACAGATGCAGAGAACAGGTGGGTGGTTACCGGAGTTGGGGGGAGGGGGTGGTAGGTGAAGGTGGTCAAAAGGTACAAACTTCCAGTTATAAGTCCCGGGGAGGTAATGACGTATAGGATGCTGGTTTTTGTTGTTGTTGTTGTTGTTGTTGTTTTAAATTTGTATTTTATTTATTTATTTTTGGCTGTGTTGGATCTTCATTGCTGCACACGGGCTTTCTCTAGTTGCAGCGAGCGGAGGCTACTCTTCGTTTAGGTGTGCAGGCTTCTCATGGCGGTGGCTTCTCTTGTTGCAGAGCACGGGCTCTAGGAGCACGGGCTTCGGTAGTTGTGGCTCGCGGGCTCTAGAGCGCAGGCTCAGTAGTTGTGGTGCACGGGCTTAGTTGCTCCGTGGCATGTGGGATCTTCCCGGACCAGGGCTCGAACCCATGTCCCCTGCACTGGCAGGCGGATTCTTAACCACTGCACCACCAGGGAAGCCCCTGTTGTTGTTTTTTAATAAAGAAAAAAAGTGGGGAGAGGGGGGTACACTTCCCAACTATTGCCTATTTTAATAAAACTACTTCTGGTTAATTTTCTTACCCAAAGAAATGATGCTATCAGAGGTAGGGGCTCTAATACACAAAAATCAGTAACATTTAGTCTGGGGAAATGTCATTAGTCAAGGAACCTGCTTACCTTTCACTTTCATCAAAACACCCCACCTCTGGTATTGTGGGCAACTCAGGAACACTATAGTAGCTATTGTGGAGGTTCTGGGCTGTGCGCCTTGAAACAATCCAAACCAACTTCTTAAGGTCTGGTTTGCAACATTCAGGAGACGAATATTCAGCTAGGCATTTAGAAACTAACTCCCTCCAGTAAACAAACTCGGAGTCATTAACCTGAAAAAAATATTTAAATGAAGAGGTTATGACAGCGGTTCCCAAACCTTGCCACACCTTGGAATCACCCTGCGAGCCTTAAAAAACACCTGGCTCCCACCCTCAGATACTCTTATTTAATTGATATGAGGTGTCATCTGGGCATCAAGGTTTTTTAAAGCTCCCCAGGTGATTCTAATGTGCAGTCAAAATTTGGTAACCACTGCTTTAGGGGAGGAGCACCACAGATTTAAATCATTTACCTAGGATTCAATACAGAGAATACTCTGCCTATCTTAAGAAAGCACACTAACCTAAAAACACTAGGTCTGTTAATAAATCAATTATCAAGTATATACTGTGATAGTCGCAACGCAAAGGAATTTAACATAATTTACGTTTCTGTAACATAGCATTACTTGGATTGCTAAAATACGCATTTACATTAAGACACCAGATATATGCAAATGGAGAAGTTGGCAATGTGAAAGAAGAGGAATTCCCCCAGAAGGGCACCGTTCCTCCACCACTGGGGAGTGCCCTAATTTATTTCATGGAATCAATTTTCACCGAAGATGTTTCCAAATGACATTATGATAAAAGGTTTAGATTCAAACTAGTAAATTTGTGATTAAAACAAAAGCTGGAAGTTACGTATTAAAACAAAATGCTTCACGTTGCATGTACTTGACCACAAAACAGATGATCATTTTATATCATCTTGGCCTCCATTTCCACCTAATCCAGTCACATCTTAATCCCCTGGCAGCCTGGCTTCTACCACTCTCTTATTCTCCTGACATCACCTCCTACATCCCCTACATGGGGAAACTGCCAACACTGAAAACCCAGAGTTTTAATCAACTGCTAAGCAAAGGACTCCCCAAAATTTCTTACGGTTTCAACTATTATTTCCTCATGGGAAATTGCTAATCTCAATCTCCAACTAAAATTTATCTGGAGTTTTTAGTCCAGACTGCCAAGTATCTGCTAGACATCTACCTATCTGAAAGGTATACAAGTACCTAAAATCATACTTCTTTGATCACAGTTAACTTCTCTCCAATTTCCCTCAATGGTACCAATATTCTTTCCACCATTAGGTGCAAATCTTGGTCATTCATGACTCTTTGCCTCATTTCCATGCTTGGCCTCTAAAAACCACTGAGTTGGGTGTACTACTTCCTGCTTGTGACTATCACCTAGATATTCTATCTACAAACCTACCCTAAAATGATTCCCAAACCCTTCTAGTCCACCAGGCCGTAAGCCTTTGCTGCCCAAACTTCCACTGTCTAAGATTGTTTTGGTAGAACCAGGTTCCAAGTCATTGTGCCTCTCACGGTCTACCCTACTTCTCTGCTAACCAAATCCCGAACTATTCCCTATGTTCAGACACAGACCCTACAGGACTGCGACACAGAACAGTAAATGACAGAACACCCTGCTTCGTGTTCAGTTCCATACTTCTCCAGCTAGACTATCAGTGTAAGAAAAAGGACTGTGCTTATGTTTGGTTTACACCTCTTTATGATTGAAAAAACTTATCAGGCTAGCCTGACAAAGGAGTTTAAAAGAAAAACATAGCCAGGGCTTCCCTGGTGGTGCAGTGGTTGAGAGTCCGCCTGCTGATACAGGGTACATGGGTTCATGCCCCGGTCCGGGAAGATCCCACATGCCGTCGAGCGGCTAGGCCCGTGAGCCATGGCTGCTGAGCCTGTGCGTCCGGAGCCTGTGCTCCGCAATGGGAGAGGCTACAACAGTGAGAGGCCCGTGTACCGCAAAAAAAAAAAAAAAAAACAAAAAAAACCAAAAACATAGCTGATGTTATCTTGGTAATGCTACTAAAGGGACAATGACTCAGTCCTACAGATGTAATGGGATGCCATTCGTGCATTTACTAACTCTACTTCTTAATATGCATTTTATTTAATTTATTTTTTAATAAATTTATTTTTTATTTTTGGCTGTGTTGGGTCTTCATTGCTACACACAGGCTTTCTTTAGCTGTGGCGAGCGGGGGCTGCTCTTTGTTGCAGAGCACGGGCTTCTCATTGTGGTGGCTTCTCTTGTTGCGGAGCACGGGCTCAGCAGTTGCAGCTCGTGGGCTCTAGAGCGCAGGCTCAGCAGTGTGGAGCATGGGCTTAGTTGCTCTGTGGCATGTGGGATCCTCCTGGACCAGGGCTCGAACCCGTGTCCCGTGCATTGGCAGGTGGGTTCCTAATCACTGCACCACCAGGGAAGCCCTTAATACGCATTTTAGAACAACGTGCATGGGGCAATGTAGACCGCTGTATTACCAACTGGCAAGAAGACTACAGAAAGGATGTCTAAATGCAGAAAGAAGCTAGCCTAAGTGACCGGGTTCCCTTCCAGCTTAATACTGTCTGGGTTGAAGCTGCATTTGCAGAACATCAACACTTAAGATACAAGAATAAATGAATAAAAGTTAAGAGCCCCATAAAGTGTTACTTAATGATTAAGTCACTACAGAAAAGATAAAACACTAGGAAAAAACTTGCTTTAAAGAATAAGTTCTGAAGATATTTACCTTGGAATGTTTTTTAACAAGCAGGAGAATTTCCAATAATTCAATGGATTTCAAAGTTTCTACTTCCAAATTGAGAAGGCACAAAGCTAATACAGATGGCTACAAGAAAAAAAAGAAAAATAATTTTTTTAATTCAAAATAGAAACTGCGGGGGGAAAAACAGAAACTGTGAGATATATATAAGAAAGAAATTGACTTACTTTTGCTTTTGAAAAGGTAAGTCGGCAGCAGCAAGCTTTCAGCTGAGCTTCCAGTTTATCAAGGCTCAGTATTTCTTTCCTATACAATGAAAAGAAAGAACAAAATATGTATTTATTAAACTTCTAAAGATTTAAACAATTCTAAGGACTTATTAAAAGTCCAAGCTGAAAGTTTGGAGCAAGTAAAAACAAATTTCACTAGAGTTCTAATTCTTTACTGTTACTTATAGCAATGCTGAAGTAGAAAATCTTAAATTTTAATCCCACCTACCTTTCTGAAGTATGACAAAGTACTATAGTATGGTATAAGTGCAAAAAGTTTAAGGCAGTAGTAGCTTCCAATTCATAGTGCAATTTTTCTGAAATGATTTTTTCCATCCGTTTTATGTCAGAAGCAGTACATTTACATTGGCTAATCCGGATTACATCAAGAGTAGACGGAATATTGCATTCTTCTTCAACTATTCTAGCAGCCAGCAAAAAACAACAGACTCCAATGCAAGATAAATGTTTAGGTTTCACCTGGAAAACAAAGAACAAAACATTTCTTCCAACAATTGTCACTTTAACTTAGCAAAGCAGACACTTAAAAGAATATTGTAATGAGCCGCTATTCTTAAGACAGAACACAATCAAGCTGCTTCCTCGTACTTACCCTTACACACAGTTATACTTAATCGTTTTTACATTTTAAGCTCTCTTAACCTCCCTTTAAACAACTAAAAAGACATTTTCAGCATTTAAATTACTTAATTTAAATGCAGGTAAAGATTTTTAATGCAAGTTCAAAAGCTAGGTTTCTCACAGTTATACATTGTATTTCAAACTTATGAAATTCATAATAGTACAACCTCCCCCAAAATAAATTAAGCCTTCCAACACCAAGAAAATATACTTCTTTGGATATAAAAATAATACATTCATCTTTGTATCTTCTTATCTATTTAAGAATCATCCCATACTTCACTGCAAATTTCCCCAAGAGAGATATTGCATCAGATGTGCAGAGTAGAGCATATGTACAAGCTGCCATGGACAGATGGCTTCCCTTTTCGGTGCCCTGAAAACTGACCCAGCAGCTGACAGCAATCCTACTGGCAGAAGTATCACCACATTTAAGAGTTACTGGTAATTGTTTTTTTTTATAATTTATTTTTTATTGAAGTATAGTTGAATTACAATGTTAATTACTGCTGTACAGCAAAGTGACTCAGTTATACCTATATATACACGTTCTTTTTCATATTCTTTTCCATTATGGTTTACCACAGGATATTGAATATAGTTCCCTGTGCCATACAGTAGGACCTTGTTGTTTATCCATTCTCTACATACCAGTTTGCATCTGCCAATCTCAAACTCCCACTCCTACCCTCTCCCACTCCCCTCCCCCTGGCAACCACCAGTCTACTCTCTATGTCCCTGATTCTGTTTCTGTTTCACTGATAGGTTCATTTGTGTCATATTTTGGATTCCACATAAAAGTGATATCATGTGACTTGCTGGTAATTGTTAACAAGACTGTGGCTCTCTGCTTGGAAAAGATTTCTCATAGTGAAGGCAATAGGTCACCTTTAACATACTGCTATACTTCCATTTGCCATGTTTCAAGTGTTTAAAAACACCTAGGCCCAACAGAAACATAACAGAAGATGAAAATATGAAAACCTTATTTTAAGAGCTATGTACATAGAAACACCTAAAAAAACAGTAGTCTTCATTTTTTCACACCCTTAAAGAGAAAGTATGTAAGAGATACAGGAAAACCTAACTTAAGATACAATAATACGCTTACTTTTGTAGTCTCTTAACCCGGACTAAAGATCACAATTCCAAATATTAAAAATGTTTATGTATAGTAACATAATTACATTCATTTGCCAAATATTTACTGAAACCTTGTATTCTAGGCATCATGCTAGGCACTGGGTATAAAAAAATGAAGTTTTATTTATAAAAACGATTAAATACCTTCATAAGAGCCAAGAATCTGTCCAAAATATTGACAGCCAGGACAAAAGTTTCAGTGCAAGATCCAAAAAAGTTGGTTAAACTCCTTAAATCTTCTACTTTGGCATTTCTCAATCTTGGACACAAAGTGTTATCATTCTGCAACAAAAACCAAGAGCCAAAGTTTATGACTGTCTTAGAACTAGAATGGACAATACACACAGATTCAAATAAGGTAATTTTTTCCCCTGAATCTTCAACAATATGGGGGACTATCAGCTAACCAAAGCACTACAGTTTTTCAGATACAAAATGTGTATACAACACTGCTTTTTAAAAATATACATCATAAAAGACATTCAGCAATTCAATATAAAGCAAACTGTTGCCACACTTCCAGAGGTTAAGAGCAAACATAATTCAATCCCCTTGTAATGGACATCCAGAAGGTTCCTTGCTTGTTTTCTTTAAAAAAAAAAAAATCACTTAAGAGCCTACTATACAGAAGTATTGCATAGGCAGAGGGTATTTCCACAAATGACCTGCTCAATTCCCAGGGAGTCTCCCACTCTGAGACTGGGGGGTGCCACATTTGAAGCCACACTTCCCTAGATTTAGTATCACTCTCATTCTAGCTAAGAAACAAAAGCATGACCCTGTATTAAGATTTATCTTAGTACTCTAGGACGACCACTTGTGGTCTTAAGAAACTTTGCAGCCTTTAGTCTAGATTCAACTAAAAAAAAAAAAAAAAAAAAAAAAAATTTAAAGTTATCTGCCCAAGCCCTGTCAGCGACTATAGCAAGTTATCTTTCCCGGGACTTACCTCCGGGGTAGCCTCGATCAAGCTCAGCCCTTTTTCTCGAGGTTGGAATCTCTGTTCCTGTTCTAGGTAGAGGTTCAACAATCCGAAGAGCTGGACCCCTTCACGACCGGCCAAGTACTCTGCCCCCAAATCCTTCATCTGTAGCAAAGACACCACACACAGTTAGAATGTATCCTGGAGGGGGGAGGGGGAAACACAAATGAGCTGGGGCCAATACCTCCAGCGAGGGGCGCCCCAGCACACCCCAGAGAAGAGCGGGTGAGGGCCCCAGTCACGTCCAGCCGAACCCCGGAGCAATCCTCCCCCACCGCCTGGGAGGTGTGGCAGGGGGAGGGGCCGTGGTCACGTCCGCCGGCTAGCGCTGGGTCAGACCGGCCAGCCCCGGTCTCCCAGCCGTTTCACAAACAGGAAACTGTCCTCTGGCGGCGGTGTCCGGACGGTCCGCCCCACCTGAAGTCGCGGGCGGAGGGGTTTCTGCCAAGTGGAACGCACCGGGGGGCTCCGAGGGCAGCGGGTCCGGGAGGTAGGGGCTTTGCACAACGTGGGGGGAGGGGAAGTCTCACGACTGAACAAAGAACCGGAGGGAGGAGACTCCCGAGCCCCGCCCCTCCCGCGGAGCCCATTTCCAGAAGCCCCTCTCGCTGGAGTCCAGCCCCCAAGCCTTCCCCATCCGCTTCGGCAGCGCCTCCTCTGAACAAAACCCGAGGGGCAGAGACCTAGGTCCCTGAGACCGCTGGGATGGCGCGGCCCAGCCGGTCGACAGCCCGCCCCGTGCCCAGACAACACCCTTCCATCCACCGATGCCCTGATTCCGCAACTCTGCGGAGACCCGGAGCTGTCAATCCAAGAAGAACCACCCCAGCGAGCCACCGTGACAAAATGAGGGGGGGGGGGGGACACCAAAGAACTGTCTTCAGCCTCCTCGACCCTCCATCCATCCATCCCATCAGCATCTCTCCGCCTCTGGGCGCCCACTGCCCCAGGGCTGAGGGCAGGACCGGAATCGCTCCCCAAGCTGAGGGGTGGGCACTCTGACATCGCTCTTCGCAGTCCCGACCATGAACAAAGAAGCTCCGCGATCCCGGGTGGGCCCACTCACCGTGCTGGAGCCGCGCCTCCACCTGCCCGCGGCGTCACGGTCGGATGGGACGGGGCGCGGCGGGGACGTCCGGACCTGCCTCCGAGGTCAGGGACCCGCCGCCTCAGTGGTGCCCCCGACCGGCATCCGACCCTTCTCCCCTGCCACCGCCGCCTCGGCCTCACAGCCCCGGCTTCATCCCACTCCCCGCGCGCCCACCCTCCGGCTGGGGCGCTGCGCCGGTCCCTCAAGCCCTGCCCCACTACGGGTTCCACCGCCGCTGACGCTGCCACCACCGCGGAGGCCCCAACAAAACCCCTTGTTTTTGTTTTGAGTTCCCGACGCCCCCAAGGGGGCGGGGCACGTGACTCCCCGCGGAGGGATCTTCCTCCGCCTCGACAGACTTTGAAAAAGAGTCCCTCCCCTAAGTGTACGTGTCCAGCCAGCTTTGTGGCCTCTTCGACTCGCCTTTGCTTTACTGAGCCACTCCTCCCTCCCAAGGAGGAGGATGGAATTTGGGCACGGCTTTATTCCTCGATTGATCCTACGGAGGAAGGAAAGGGAGTGATAGGCGTGAGGGGCGGAAGGAGATAGTTTCTGGTCGCATTGCACCTTTTAAAGGTCCCCAGTTTGTTTTGTTTTCGCTGTTTTGAAAAGTCCGCCCGAAGTAGCGGGCTCCCCGATTGGATATCGGTGGGGGGAGAGCAGGATGCTGCAGCTCTGATTCAGTCTCGAATCCGGATTGGCTAACTGATTATCCTTTGAGCCCTCTGATTGGTTTTCACTGTATCCTGCGCTTCTATCTGCCTCAGGGCCTTAGCAACTCTGGTGTCTGGATTGCGCATGCCCGGGTGGACCACTTCGGAGAAATTCGCTAACCTGTCCAGGGGTCTGTACCTTCCCAAAGCTATCACCAACACTGCCCCCCCCGATTTCCCCCCCGACCCCGGCCCGGTCCCAAGGGAATACCACGCATGGTTCTCACCTCCGAAGAGCTAGAATAGCTATAGATAACCTTTGTGACAACTTCTTCCACCACGGGAGGGTTGTCTACGTTCCTTCTTTATTCTGTTCTGCAGGTCAATTTTGCGATAACCAGTCAAGTTATTGTAAAATTTTCGGGGTGCTTACTGAAATATTTACGAGTAAAATGCTATCATCTTTGTATTTGCTTTAAAGGTTACCGACCAAAAGGAAAAAAAAAAAAATGCAGAGGAACTGTGAAACAAGATTGGGAAAAAGAGTTGTTGAAACTGGGTGATGGATACGGGAGGGTTTGTTATACTATTATTTCTACTTTTGTGTACCTTGAAATTTTTCTGTAATAAAAATAAATATTCAATAAAGGGACTTTTAAAAACAAAAAATTACCTGTGCACGTTGACAATGGCAAGCAAACATCTAATAATTGCCTACCTCCTGAGGTTATACTTGTACTGTTTTAATGAAGACTCAGAGAGGCTTCTTGGTCCTTGGTCACCCATAAATTATCATTTATTGTCCATTACAGAATTGTTATTAAGAGGTGACACCTCTCCTGAGGCGGGGCAAAAAGCAAAGCAAAGAGTGCCTTAGGCCGGAGAAAATTTCACATGGAATATCTTTTGGGGGATGTAAGAGGCACTCCTCCAACGTTTATAGTTATTTTCTTTACTTTCTCTTGCTTCAGTTCCTCGCTGGCCATCTGCTAAATATGCAAATCGGTAAATAGCACTTTCTCGAGTTCTACTCTAAATAATTAGCCCTAAGGAACTGATTTCTCTTTTCCGCCCTTCTGTATGTTTTCTGTGCATGTTTGGTTACTTGTAAAATTGTTTGGTTACTTGTAAAATATGCACATAACATAGCTTTCACAACAGCTTTTTCTTTTTTCCAGAGCAGCTAAGGAATTTTAGAAATAGATCCCTTTGCATATTAGCTGGGACTAGACATAGATGTCTGGAGCACAGAGCAACTGGGGGGAGGGCAGCTCAAAGAGCTAATCCTCCTATTTCAGAGAGGTGTGGCCTTGTTCAGGGTTTTGGCAATTTAATAAAATTACATTAACAAATGGGGACTTTTTTTCAAATAAAAGGGCAAAGGTAGAAGAGGAACATAAGATATAGAATAAGTGATGTGAAGAAGGAAATGTAAAATTATGTGGTAGAAGATTTTTTTAATAATAGAGAAGATATAAGACAAAAAGGAAGAAATGGAGAAACTGACCTTTGCCTACATCACTGACTGTTATAAAGGTCTACAAAATGTATACTATTTATTTTATAATTGTTATTTGATGTATCTTCTAACAGGCAGCCTCTTGAATGATGAGCAGTTCTCTCTCAAGAAAGCTTTGTAAATGCTGTTGAATTTCCTCCTCTTTGCAGATCCTGTTCAGTATAGAAAAGACTTATCAAGTTCTCTGATATGGAGCCCCTTGTTCATTTTAGTCCACGTATCTTTTTAAGATAAAGGAAAGCAATCATTAAAAAATAACTGGTCCAGTAATTAAATCATCCTTTAAAAAAAAAAAAAACACCTCCTTTTCACAATGATTATCTTCTGGGGGAGAAAATAATGCAAGTCTCCTCTTTTGACTCTGCTGATTCTTTTTTGGTTTTGGATGTGTGTTAATTTTTTTAATTTCAGAAGTTTTAAAAAAATTTTTTAATGACAGCCTTCCTCCAGGCTCTATTTGTCCTTATCACGTTGGCTCACTTTGCTGCAGTTGTAGGTCTTAGGTATCAAAAAGACATTCTCCCCGAGGCTTATCAGCCTTTACCTGTCAGCTGCCTTTCAGTCTTTGCTAAGCTCTCTTGAGGGCAATTTTCCTTCGTCATGTGTGCATACAAAATAGGGAATCAGAAATCTGGCAGTCCTCAAGAAGAGCTTGGAGGGGACTTATCTGATGGAGGTGCAGTGGGGTTGGGTGATAGTCTGCCCCCCATAACCCCATGGAGGCCTGACAGGGAACCAGCTGTCCTCAGTGACATCTGAATCTGTGAAACCACACAGTGGGCACAGAGCAGGGAATAAACAGCAGCACAGCCACACAGAAACAATGCCTTCATTCAGCAAATCCTCAGCTCCTGAGGAGTGTCCTTCAAACCTACCCACACTTAAGCTTCTACCTTGAAAAGAAAATAGCACATTCCCAAGTGGCTGCTGCCCCAAATGCCTTAAACTCAACTTCCCTGAACTTTGTAAGGCATCAAAATTCCCACAAAACTTTCCAGGTATAATCTTCCTCCTCACAAATGATAGGTTTAGATAATAAACCCTGGCTTTTTATTCAACAGACGTTTAATGAACACACACTACATGCCAGGCATGGTACTAGGCACAGACACAAAAATTGATAAGTAAAACACAGTTCCAGAATATGCCTTGGTGTATTTGAGGTGTAGGGCAAAAGCTCCAGCAGTGATCAAAATACCTGACTTTGAGTCCCAGCTTTACTACTCACTGGAGATAATTCTTCAAATACCTTGAATAATTTGATTTATCCAGAGCCTTAGCTTTTTTTTTTAGTTCTTTGGGCCAAGCCACACGGCATGTGGGATCTTAGTTCCCAGACCAGGGATGGAACCCATGTTCCCTGCTTTAGAAGGGCAGAGACTTAACCACTGGACCGCCAGGGAAGTCCCAGGAGCCTCAGCTTTCTAATCTGAAAAAGCAAACATACAAATAAACAAATGGCTGGGGGAGAGGAGACCCCGGGGAGTAGTTGTTTCTACCTGATGTAAAGATTAAATACAAACAGGTGTAAAAGCACTTTTGCTATGCACTCCTGGGCTGATGGGACTTTCACAACACTGTGACTTCAAGAAGTGATCATCCCGGGCTTCCCTGGTGGCGCAGTGGTTGAGAGTCCGCCTGCCGATGCAGGAGACACGGGTTCGTGCCCCGGTCCGGGAAGATCCCACATGCCGCGGAGCGGCTGGGCCCGTGAGCCATGGCTGCTGAGCCTGTGCCACGGAGCCTGTGCTCCGCAGCGGGAGAGGCCACAGCAGGGAGAGGCCCGCGTACAGAAAAAACAAACAAACAAACGAAGAAGGGATCATCCCTAACCTCATCAAAGGAAAGCAGCCCTACAAGGGAAAGAAGCTCAAGATCAGGATCCGTAAAGCTGACATAAAGGCCACACTTCCTCTTCCCCTCTGCTCACTATTTCTACCTCTCTGCCTAGGCTGTTTTCTGTTCTTACGGGTGGTTTGCAGCCCCAAACTTCTTGTGCTTAGAGTAACCTTACTAGCAGAACCTGTAAAGGAGACAGGAATTCTTGTCAGAGGGAGAGAAACAGGGAAAGCATAACCTAATCAGGGGTTGAAGTAATTCAGATTTTTTAACCAAGGGTTCATTTTTTTTTTTTTTTTTTTTTTTTTTTGCGGTACACGGGCCTCTCACTGTTGTGGCCTCTCCCGTTGCGGAGCACAGCCTTCGGATGCGCAGGCTCAGCAGCCATGGCTCAGGGACCCAGCCACTCAGCGGCATGTGAGATCTTCCCGGACCGGGGCACGAACCCATGTCCCCTGCATCAACAGGAGGACTCTCAATCACTGCACCACCAGGGAAGCCCCCAAGGGTTCATTTTTGAATGTGAACTTGAAAGAATGAGAATTTATAGGCAGACAATGAATTCCTTTCTTCAAGCAATCAGAGAATAAATCAGGGAACATCTCATATATTCTGCTTTCTGACTTTCTTATGGACAAGACTTCAAATCTGAAATAGCAAATCCAACATTCTAAGCTATTCTGGTATAGATATTTTGTTGCTGTTAATGTTAAAGATAGAAGCATGTTGCACCTTTCAGGGAGCTTATTTATGCAAGGCTTAGGGATATTCATTCCCACATGCTGATGTACTCCGTTTTGGAATTGAGGGAGTTATCTTCACTGTAGAGGCCCTCTGAATGACCACAGCAAGGCTTTTTCCAGCCAGCCACATTAGCCCTTCCAGCCCTGCTAGCCTGCAAGTGAGTGAGTCTTGTGCAAACTATCTCTGAAACCCGAGAACTCAAAGCTCACTTGCCTCTGTGGCTGACTCTTGACTTTAGTATCCAGACCTCTTTCTCTTATGGCTGAAAGTCAACTGGAATAAATGGAGTAGCCCTGACAAGGTGTGGAAAGACCCGCAAAGGGGGGTGCAACTGAGAATATGGCGCTTCCTGAAATCAGAG